AATTCTTATGATATTGGATACATATGTGATTGGATCTAGTGCAAGTGGTAGTTTGTAAGTGTTATACCCTAGGTCCAATCAACCTTGGACATAAATACTTTTAATATATAATTAATGTGATTTAATAACAGATCTATCTATTAATTAAATAATAGAGTCCGTAGATTCAAATTTTCGTAATTTGTTAATCACAAGGAATTGTGATTGTGAGATACAAATTACATATGATTGAATCTTAAATTGTTCGTGGTCGTAAGTAATAACGAGATACGGATATCATCATTACGTATAGACTATCACGTGTAACATTTCTTACTTGTGAATTAAGTAGTTGATCTCACAAGTTGAAGTGTTGTGACACTTAAATGAACACGTGGATGTTTTGTTATAGAACAAAATATTAGAGACCTGCCTAGAGATTCCACATAGATAACTATATGAGTGTCAGTTGTTAATCTCTAACGTTTGATAGTGAGATTGGTCATTTAACTTGAGGTCGTCCTAATATCTTATATGAGGACAGTCATGCTTTGATGGTGTTGGATGTTACTCTGCAAAGGGCTGCTAATACGACATCGTTCGAATATGTCAATAATCGTATGAAAATTGTGAATGGCCAATAAAGGATTCGTCACTCTTAGATAGTAAGAGATTATGTTCTGCATTTCATTCAATTAAGTAGATAACGAAATCATTGACCAATGTGTACTCATAAGTCGAAAATGAGTTTTCAACTTATATTGATTTAATAGTAGAGTGAAAGATATGATAGATAATCGAGATTGACACACTTCCATATCTCGTAATTGATCGGATCATATTGACGAAGTGATTATTGTTTCACGGTAAACGAACGAGTTTGATTTTGTCATACCAAGTGACATTTTTCGTCACATATATTGCCCTGATACATTGCTAGATGTCAGTTTGGGACGACAAGTGTGAATTGGTGATAAATTAAAATGGAGTTTTAATTTATCAATTTTGATTAGATCAAAATAATATTTCATGTCGTCAAGCATCGTGATCGGGAATATGATGGGTCGCGCACAAAAGGAGAACTGGAAGATTGTAATTTATCAATCAATTAATTTAACAAGCGTTGGATAAATTAATTAATTGGATTTCTTATTTATAGGCTTGAATTAATTAATTGGATTAATTAATTCACGAACCGAATTTAATTAACGAGTTAATTAAATATTGGACTGGATCAGGCCAAGCCCTTTTGGGTTTATATAAATAAGTTATTAGGGTTTACAATTTTGTAGAGATTCATTGATTTTGCTAGCACAAGAAAAATACTTTTATCCTACAATCTTGTTTTCTGTGTGAATCATCGTTGGAGACTAGACAATTGGACAGCTGTGGGTGACAAATCAAGGTTGCTGAAAAAAGAAAAAGTAAGGGAGTTTGTAAAAGATACAATTTCTATTTAAATACAAAAATAAATTTTGGTGGAAATTAAAAATTGTTTTATTTTCTGTGCACGTTTAAATAAATTCCCAAAAATCAAGTGGCCAATTCTGGGAGAGGGATACAGCACAATGGTGTCAGCCATGCTAGATAAACTCATCAATGGATATGGTAATGAAATAAATCAAAATGGTGTGTCATATATAAAGCGGCCATACGTGCTGTGTGCCCAATTTTTACTGTCGGGACGTTCCAAGAATCTAAGTTTGATAGTGAACTGCCTTGATATGTGTGAATGGCTTATGAATATTTTAAGAATCCAACCATATTTTAGCAAGTTTGGGCCCATGCTAGACAAAAAGGATGGTGGCAATCAATTCATATGCGTTTGTGGCTATCAGTTCAATTTTAGTTTTTCCCACATTCCATCTCTGCTCTTCAATATCTAAAGGTTGAAACCCACATTTTTCTACTCTTCAATATCTTCATATGTGGCCCTCGCAAGTACATTCAAATTGCATCAAAGGGTAAAATAGTCATCGAGGCTCAACGACATTATCATTCCTACATCCATCTCTGACAAAAATCTTAGTGGTTGTACCGCATAACCAAGCAAGTACGGTAGGAAAATGAGATGTGTTAAAAAATAATAATAATTAAAATGAGCATCAAATGGGTTGTTACTCTTTATTTTTTATTTTAACTTTTTAAAATAAAGAGTGAGTTTGACTTTTTAAATTTAGAGAGCTAAACTTTCTTTCTATTCATAATGTACAATGATTGCATTTAATAAGTCACAAATTTCGACGAGTAATATTATTTAACATCATTATTGTTAAAATACTACTTTATCTGATACTAACGCAACATTAAATAATATGTATAATTCCCCCGTTTGTAACCCATTTTCATTTGGAAAAATGCATTCTTTCTATCAACATGGGTCCCACATGATGACAAATATTTTTTGAATTGACTAGTACAATTTTTATCTTTTCCAAAATACTCTCATTTGCCTTCAATGACCCACCATTTTTGACTTTTCCACCTACCATAATTTTGGCTCACTATAAAGGGTAATAAAGGGATTGATATTTACAAAGCTGTTTGTGTACATCCTCTAGTCAGTGCTTTATCAGTGGAAATGACTAGTAACACGCAAATCTTTTCTAAAATGAGAGTGCGAAATGGACAACAAATAGGGGCTTAAAATAAATCATTTAATTCTATATTTTATTGATTCTATAATTTAATATTACATAAATTGATATTCTAACATCACTATGCTAAATAACATTATTTAGTTTCAATATTCTACTTCTTAAACTATTCAAACAGTTAAATTGAATGGCTATTGACATAAGACAAATTATTTTAAATAAAATATGAGAAGAAATTTATAAATGTTAATTGAGAAAAAAGTAAAATGAAGAGCCAAAATAGAGAGTATTATTGAAATATATAAAAGGATTTTTGAGAATTTCCAATTTTTTTCGAGTTCCTTAAAAATAAGGGGGTGTTTAATAGTCATTTTTATGTAAAAATGCATTTTAAAATAATAAATTGATGTGAAATGTGTGATTGAAAAACAAGGAATTTTTTTTGATTTACGTGTAATATTATTTTAATAAAGAATGTGTGATTGAAAAGAAGAGAGGGAAAAATACATTTTAAAAAAAATGGCTACCAAACGAGGCCTAAGTTTCTATTCAACGAACGTGATTATTGACAAGAACTTATTGAATCCATAGTTTGGACCTTCATCACAGTGAGCAAGGTCTTGAGTCAATTTGGTAAATCTATTTAAACTTTCTTCTAGATCAACAGAAGTTCCATCTTAAAAGAAAAAGAATTATTTTAGTAAAAAACTTTTGTTAGGAACAGTTTTAAACTCATATTGAGCCTTCAATTCGGTCCAATGTTCTTCAATAGTTTTATTTTCTACCATGGTTTTAATCACATTTTCAAAAAGATACAAGAAGATAGTATTCCATGCTATTTCTTCCAATTCGATCTTTTTTGAGGTCGTCATATCTTTTGTCAAAGAACCATTTAAGGTTGTAGCACATTTTAATTGTATTAAGATGGCCCTTATCTTTTGACTCCACATACTGAAATCTCCCCTTCCATCATATTGGTTTATTTCAAACTTAGCAGTTGCCATCATAGATTCCAAAAATGATATAACTCATTTGAACAATCCAACGGAAGACACATAGTGAAAAGATACTTTACAAAAAAGGGGTTAAGCCAGCAGTAGTGCACACGAATTTATATTCTCAATTAGTAAACATATCACTCTAAGTATAAAATAGAATCACAGACAGGAGTGAGGTAGTCTCAGCCTTGTTGGCAGCCGCAGTGTGAGAGTTCGATTCCTGAGATATGGAATTGGAATCTTTGTGGGCACCAGTGTACAGGCAAGCTCTTGTTCCTGGCCTGCTGGGGCACATCCTGAGATTTACCTCCCTCACAATGCTCCAGCAGAGGGGAGGTGAAGGACCCTCAAAGTTGGGGTTCAACCTTTTTTTTAGAATCACAGATAGAGATTACAATTCCTATATTTCAAAGATTTCTCTTGCAAGATCCTCCAGCTATACCCCAGCATCGAGTTTATCTCAGATTTCCAAGGCCTCTTTAAAGCCTTTGAACAAAGACCAATCTTGGGAGGGAGTTTGTGTAAGGTAAATCAAGGGAAAATCAAGATATTCTAATATTTGGAATTACCAAACAATGAGATATTGGAAAGGTCTCATCAAATGAGTTCAAAGAACTTCGATTCCTTCAATTAAGTTCACATAGTTTTGAAGTTGATTTCAGATCCATAGTTTGCTCGAAGATCCGGCATTACAATTTACAAAACCAAGCTTTGATATCACGGAAAAGGTCAAGAAAAACTCAAGATTAATCAATGATTTAAAATCTAATAACAGAACATATAAAAGAAATTGCAGAAATAAAAAATCAACATAAAGAATTTTTTCGGCCAAAGCCCCAGATGTTTAACGACCGCTTCTAAAATCCCCTATTGAGCTTCCATTGTAAATGGATAAAGCTCGATTGCACTATAAAGCCAAGAATATGACAGCCACAGTACAATCAGTTCAAAAATCTCACGGTCAAGTCATAGAGACTTATCTTTAACCAAAAACTTTGGATCGAAACACCGTCTATCCACAAATCACAGCAGAACACTCAGTTCTATCTCTAATGTTCACTGCTCAAACGAATCACACAGATTCTTTACACAAACCATTCAGAAAAGCACAACAGCCTTTCGATCTGGAGTATATCTGTACATTGGAGATCTTCTAACATTTACACAATCTATTGAATCAAGAATGAGAAGCCCTAACACGAAGTATGAGGTTTTCTGAAGCCCAGTCCTCGAACCCACAGAAGTTGGAAAATGAACAAGTCGTATAGCCAAATAGTCTCTTTGATAGATATAAAATCAGAAGATCTAGAATCAGATCTGAGGATCACCAAGAAGCCAAGTGTCACAATCGAAATGATAGCATCCACTAAGAAAAGCGTCATTTTGAAAACACGCTTTCTTTACAAATTTTGGAAGCACACCTTTAACAATGGATTGCCTAGGGTTCAAAACACAACAATCCCAAATGCACTACTTTATTGGGCCTCTGATTGCAAGCAATGATGGAGGCTGTAGAAGTGATGGAACATGAGTGTTTGAATTGGTTAAACTCACAGCCCAGTAAAAGTATTATTTTTCTGTGTTTTCGAAGTATGGGATTGTTCACGGCGGAGCAGCTAGCGGAGATGGCCGCTGGGTTGGAAAATAGCGGCCACTAGGTTGTTTGGGTGGTGCGTAGTCCTCCCGCGGATGACAAAACCAATGCTCCACCAGTAGAGCCAGACTTGGATGCATTGCTGCCACAAGGTTTTTTCTCGTCTAAAAGTTTAATTACTTGTAATCTTATATTCACCTCCCTACAGTGATCGATTTAAAATTTTCCTGTGAAAGAGAAATATTTGAATAATTTATAATAATTTGGTGGGTCGATTTTCAAGAAATGAGAACAGGAAGATTTGATTATCTGTTACACTACAAAGTTAACTATCATATTTATGATAACGTTTATCTATTTAAATTTTGTCTTCAATAGGCTTCTTGGGAACTAAAGATAAGAGGGGCTGGTGGTAAATTCATGGGCACCGCAAGTGGCGGATTTGTGACATATTATGGTTGGAACTCAATTCTAGAGGCTATTTGCGCGGGTGTCCCAATGTTAGCTTGGCCACTGTATGCAGAGCAAAGGATGAATAGGATTTTCATGGTGAAGGAAATGAAGGTGGCATTGGGTTTGACTGAGTCTGCCAAGGGGTTCATGACAGCTACTGAGTTGGAGAACCGACTTATAGAGTTGATGGACTTGGAGAATGGGAACTTCCTTCTTTTGTACATTTTTGTGGATAACCAAAAGGTTAATATATCCCTGTAACATTACTCTCAATTTGCTTTACTAAATGGGAAAAGTTGCAGTATTAGTTCCCAGATCATGCTACGTGTACAATTTTTTTTTTTTGCAAATTCCCTTACTCACTACTCACAATAGGGTGGGGATCACAAGCCAATATTTTTTAAATTCACGTGAGGTCCGTTATTTTTGTGAGAGTGAGTACACCATTTTGTCAACAAGATTTTGTACAAATATCTTTATCTATTAGTTCTCAACGTATCGTCGTTGCAGTATTGGTTACCAATGTATTGTCGCCGTAGCTAGATATTTTTCTAATACTAAAAAATGAGTGCGTTGGTCCTCGACTTCATTACAATTACATATTATCTATCTTCAATAATAACTGTTTAAATCTCTGATAAACACACAATTCTAAAACGTTGGACTTTATAAAACTGAATTTTGCTTCTCATCTTGGACTGACGTATAAAGTTTGAAGGAGGCATGAATTTACTATTACTAAAGACTGATTGTACGCAATAATGAATAATCAAAGTAAAATAACGACTTCTTAGGTTAAGAGTATTATTTACTACTGAAACAAACGGTACCCTTGGTCCCTAAAATGGCTAAGCTCTGACATATGGGGTTGAAACTTGAGATAAGGCACATAATGCATTTCACTTATAGTACCGACCCACAAAATTACAAGAATAAATTGAGATAATAAATTTATTTATTTAGATTTTATCTTTGTCGAATTTACTTTGGCACTAAGGACCCACGTCAATTTTCATAAATGGCAAATACGAGGCTTGAACTTAAAGATTTTATCTACTCTGTTACACCTCCACATCTATAGTAACTAAATTCTCTCCCCCTTCGTCAAAGCATAAGATTTTCGCTTAAATAAAAATGAATTAGACATACACAAAAGACCTGTTAAGCATATAGATACATTTGAACAATTTTTTCCCGACATAATTATTACATGATATTTCGTATTTCAGAAATTGTCGAAATTTTTATTGAAAAGCATAATTACGCGCAACTACAGTGAAGGATATGAATTACAAACACATCTTGCTAAAACATTCCATGGTAAATAATATATATTGCATGACAAATCTTGCAAGATCGGATACTCACATCACTTATATCGTCAATCTTGGCAATTTCCATGACTCAACTAACTTGGCCAAGGCAACAATGGATGTACCGCCTTCACTCATAGCTGCCTCTGCCTCTGCCTCTTTTTCTTTGGTGCGCTTTCTGACCGATTCACCTTCCTTCGAGTCCATCAACTCTCTAACTCGACTCTCGACCTCCTCAGCAGTGACAAACCCGTCTTCTGATTCGTTCATTGCAGAGCCAACTTCAAGTCTTCCACTAACACTACCCTGTTGAACTTTTGTTCAGCATAAAGAGGCCACGCCACCATGGGGACGCCCGCGCACAATGCTTCCAACACCGAGTTCCATCCACAATGTGTCACGAACCCGCCAACAGATTTATGTCTCAACACCTCCACTTGTGGGGCCCACGACTTCACCACGAAACCCCGGTCCTTTGTCCTATCTAAGAATCCACTAGGAAGTAGTGACTCCAGATCTGGTTCAGGAGGAGGTAGGAAGCGCTTGCTCTTGTCCTCAGAGGGTGGAGAACGCACCACCCACAAGAACCTTTGCTCGCTTCTCTCCAACCCAATCGCAATTTCTTTCAACTGCTTACCTGAAAGCAAACCAAGACTCCCAAAACACAAGAACACGACGCTTTGGCTTGGTTGCAAATCGAGCCATTTCAAACATTCGTCCATACTCTCAGTTCTACCTCGTTCTGTTGCCAATAGCGGTCCTATACAGAAAACAGGTGGTGTCGGACCATCAGGATTGCAAGATCCTTCAGATATTGCTTTAAGAGATTTTGATTCAAGGGACTCGAATGAGTTTACAATAACTCCAGCTGACTTGGGCAAATGGAGAAAGAAATCTAGAAAGTAAGCATATTCGGCCGAGGATCGATCAAGAATTGGATCTGGCATGTGTGAAGATGGTATCGGTGGTAACCCTGGAATATCCAAAAGTGAATTCAGATCTTTGAAACTTTTAGAGGTATTCCGATGTATGGTGGGAACGTAAAGGAAAGAATCAAGACAACAGACACCAGAAGTGAAGAAATAATAAGTTGGGATTCCGAGTTTGGTGAAAATGGAGAAAGCCGGGGTGCAAAAGAAGTCGATTATGACGGATGTGATGGTGCTGGTGCTAGAGATCTCTTGAAGGGCTCGTTGGACATTAGGGTTGCTAAGGCGGAGGGTCTCGAAAATAACAACTTCCATGGACGAGAAAGAGTCGAATGTAAGGGAAACAGAAGGTAAATGGTGGAAGGTGATGGAGGGGTTGGTGGCGGAAACTCGGTCAATATAGGAGGCGGTTAGCCAGTGTTGAATGATGGAGGCACCGTGAGAATTGCAACGGTGAAGAAAGGGTGGTGGTTGAGTATGAACTTCCCGAACTCCACCATCGAAATCAGATGCCCCATGCCTGGGGAGGGATATAGAACAATAGTTTCCATTCTATAAAGAGAATGATAGCAAAACTCAAGACTCTTAGAAAACTTTGAACTTGAACGAGAGGATTCCAAGTTAAATTTCACAAACTAGTATGTATAGACAAGTCGAGATTACGTACAGTATTCCTCACACAACCAAAAGTTGGAGTTAATTCCTCAAATAGTCACTAAACTTTATCAAAAAATTTTAGGAGGTCATCGAACTTCCAAACTTTCCTAAATAGTCACTGAACTTTGTAAAAAGTTCCCAAAAGGTCACTGAATTTCAAAACTTCCTTAAATAGTCATTGAACTTTGCAAAAAATTCTGAGGAGGTCACTAAACCACTGTTGTATGGGGTCCCAATTTGCAAAGTCAAGTGACCCCCTAAGAACTTTTTGAAAAGTTCAGTAATTATTTAGGAAAGCTTTAAAGTTCGATGACCTCTTGGAAACTTTTGACAAAGTTTAGTGACTATTTAGAGAAATTTTGAAGTTCAGTGACCTCTTAGAAACTTTTAGCAAAGTTCAATGACTATTTGAATAATTAACTCCCAAAAGTTGATAAGTGCCCGTTCTTGGTTGACCACCCATATGAGCAAGACTCAAAAATTATCTCACGATACTCCAGGGGCGGGATGGTGGGGGACCCTTAAAGTTGGGATTCAACATTTTTTTTTAAGACTCAAAAATTACCTGGAAGTTGTTGGAGGGAAATAAGTGATTTGTGTAGGTTATCAATTAGCATAACAAATTTAAGAATATAAAAAATAAAATTCTATAATAACATAAATATAAGAAGAGAGTTAGAGAGCAAGTTTTATAAAATCATGAAACGGACGTTGTTGAAAAATCGTGTTATCTCTCTTACATTTGGATACTTTCAACACTATACAACTCTAAGATAAAATTCACATAGCTCACCATCAGTTTTTCCTCATGGGCACCATCACATAGAGATAAATATTAAGTGAGTACGGAGGCCTTTGGTCACGAGTCCGATTTTTCCTACCAACATTTTTTCAGTCGAGCCTGTCGCACCGGACTTGCCTAATGTGATTTACTTGACTGACATGGTTTGTAGGCTATTGCGTCAACCAAAGGACACTATCGAGGTAGCTAAGAGGGGAAAAAATCCAGAAAATCGAGTTGATGGAGCCTTAATTTTTTGGCCAAGCTTTTACTCGGATAAAAAAAAAGCCCGAAACGAAAGTTTCGGCTTGACTCGTTGACACCCCCACCAATATTGTTGAAAATTAATTTAATTAAAATAAGTTACACTATAAAATTATTACTTTTAATTATGTATTAAAATTGAAAACCTGTGTGAGTCTCATTTTTATTGAAATTTGTATTTTAGAACAGTAGGATTGATGGATAACGTGTAATTGAACTAAAAAAGAAAACTGAAAAATTAAAAATGTTTTAGCTTTATTTGGTCACCATTATGTTCAAAATACATTTTTCTCTTTTTTATTTTGAATTACATATTCTTCAATAACATAATATTACACGTAAATTCAATTTTTTTTCTTATTTTGTAACAACACCTTTTTCATCAAAATATTATTCCAAAATGTATTCTGGACAAAAAAGGGGGCTTGAACGAGCTTACTTTTGAAATTTTAAAACTTTTTATTTTCTATTACAATAAAAGAAATGCTAGCAATACATGAGTAAAGTTCTTTGTAGCTTCACGGATGATGACATGCGCGGGTTTTTAATCAAAATATTATTTCAAAATGTATTCTGAACAAAAAAAGGGGGGGAGGGGGTTGAACAAGCTTAATTTTGAAATTTTAAAACTTTTATTTTCTATTACAATAAAAGAAATGCTAGCAATACACGAGTAAAGCTCTTTGTAACTTCACAGATGATGACATGCGCGGGATTTCACTGGGTGTTTTAAATCTATTTTTAATGCAAAGTCCAACGAAATTATTCCACTTGACATTTTGTAATTCTGTTTGTACAGGATGCCTATACTTGTAGCTTCTTTCATCTTTCCAAATCAACAATCCGCACATTTAAAATAAACAAAATCAAAATATAATTCGCAATGAGTAAATATTACAGTTCACACTTGCTTGTATAATACAAAAATTAGCTTCCTGATTCTGTTTTGGTTCTGGGTCGCCATAATTAAACTTAAAGGTAATGGTCCCATAAGATTTGTAACTCAACTAGAGATGTTAACGAGTTGAGACGAATCTCGAGGCTCGGGTTTCGACTCGAGTAAAAATGGTTGGAACTTTTTTTGCCCTAATTGAGCCGAGCAAAAATCTAGGCTCAACTGAAACTTTCGGCCCGAACCTTATTGATCCGAGCTGGGCCAATTCACGTATTTTTTTTTTATAAAACACAAGCAGCGTCAGCATAGCTGTCTGTAGTTTTTTTTTTTTTTAATTGTTTAAGGGTGAGCTCATCGTTTTTTTTTTTTTTTTTTTTTTTTTTGTTTAAGGGTGAGCTCATCACGAGCCAAAAATGGCCCACGACATGAGCCAGCCCGAGCCTTGAGCAGGTCTACTCAGACTTTTTTCTGGCCAAGCCACGGGAACTTTGAGCCAACGAGCTAAATTAACATTTCTAGACTCAACGTGCAAAGTAAAAAATTACAAACAAAAACAACACTAAGAATTTTGGGCCAAAGGCTCAAAAGGT